GAGAGATATTTATTTCATAGCTTACTATTCGAAAGTCATCAATAAAAGAGTCAACTGACAGACCACTAAAAAAAGTACTTATATTATTGACTGATTCTTTTTGATGACTAACTCGTTTATTTATTTATATCTCATGAGAGTTCATTGAAGTGTTTGACTAGTGTTCCAAATGTTTTATCTATCTCTCATCCTCCCTCTCTCTTTCAGTTATCCGATACAATGGATTTAGACATGATGATGATGCATACAAGTAGTAGTAGTAGTAGTGGTGGCGTTGGCGGTAGTTCAACCACAACAGGATCTAAATCATGGGGTAAAGCTGCTTCTTTAAAATTATCCAATTCATCAAACAACAACACCAACAACAATAATAACAGTATGACTACAGGATCCAATTCTACAATGGCTACAATTGCTGCTTCATTAACCGCTAATAATCATCATCATTATGACAATTCAACAGGATCACTTAACGCCAATAACAACAATGTGTATTCTGATTCAAATAAACGTCGTGTTGGTCCATCATCTAGTCAGTTATATTTAGTACGAACTATGTTAGAATTAATGATTGAACAAGTCTCTTCATCAAGTAAACAATTAATTCGAAAAGATTTAGATTCAACAACCCTAGCCACAATTGATACATTTCTCAAACATAGTTTCTATTGGCCATATCTTTTAAATTTTAGTGGTAATTATGGAAGTTTTTTTTTTAAAAGATTTATTTATTGATTAAAATACTATCATTACTCGATTTTTTAATGCTGTCAAGGTTGTTTAAGTATGTTACGTGATATATATATATTACTTACACCTGTTACCCCCAATGGAGCATAGGCCGCCCACTAGTTTTCTCCAACCAACTCTGTCCTGGGCTTCTCTTTCTAGTTCTGTCCAATTTTTGTTCATTCTTCTCATGTCTTTCTCTATTTCTCGGAGTAATGTATTCTTTGGCCTTCCTCTTTTCCTTTTGCTTTGAGGGTTCCGTGTGAGGGCTTGTCTCATGACGCAGTTAGATGCTTTTCGTAGTGTGTGCCCTATCCACTTCCAACGCTTCTTCTTGATTTCCTTCTCCACTGGAGTCTGGTTTGTTCTCTTCTACAGTAGTTTATAGCTGATTTTGTCTGGCCAACGAATCCGAAGTATTTTGCGAAGACAACTGTTCATAAACATTTGTATCTTCTGGATGATGGCTTTGGTAGTTCTCCAAGTTTCTGCTCCGTACAGTAGAACTGTCTTGACATTTGTATTGAAAATCGTGATTTTGGTGTTTTGGTTGAAAGTTGTTCGGAGTTCCAGATATTTTTCAACTGTACAAATGCTAATCCGCGCCCTCACATCTGCATCGGATCCACCTTGATTGTCAATGATGCTGTCCAGATATGTAAAGGTATTAATGTCCTCCAAGGCACCTCCATCAACAGTGATTTGGTTGGTGCATGTTGTGTTGCATCGGAGAATTTTGCTTTACTCTAAGTGTATGTTGAGACCTACTGCTGTAGAGGCTGCTGCTACACTGGTCGTCTTCTCTTGCATTTGTTTTTGCGTGTGAGATAGAAGAGCCAGGTCATCTGCGAAGTCCAGATCGTCCAGCTGCGTCCTAACTGTCCTCTGAATACCGTGCTTCCCTCCAGATGTTGACGTTTTCATAATCCAGTGGATTGATGACCAGGAGAAAGAGAAAGGGTGAGAGTAAGCAACCTTGCCTGACACCGGTCTTCACCTCGAAAGAGTCTGTCAGCTGACCTCTGTGCACGATTTTGCAGTTGAATCCATCATAAGAATTCCGTATGATATTAACTATCTTTTCAGGCACACCGTAGTATCGAAGAAGCCTTCACAGTGTTTTCCTATCCACGCTATCGAATGCTTTCTCGTAGTCGATGAAGTTGATGTAGAGTGGTGAGTTCCATTCAATTGATTGTGCCACAATTATCCGTAATGTAGCAATTTGGTCAGTACATGATCGATCCTTACGAAATCCGGCCTGTTGATCTCGAAGTTGGACGTCTACGAAGTCCTTCATTCTGTTTAACAATACCCTGTTGAAGACTTTGCCTGGTATTGAAAAAAGAGTGATGCCTCTGTAGATTAGGCGATGATTGAATATATATATATATATATATATATATATATATATATATATGTCTATGTATATATGTAGAACTTCACACGTACGTGCGTCATGCCAGTTTTTCACTTAGACTTCCAATAATAATCTGATTTTGTTTGATTTATCGAGTTACTTACTGTTATGATATGAGGTTTCTTAAATCTGAATGCCTGCTACCCCCAAACAGAGCACCGGCTACCGACTAGCGTTCTCCAACCTACACTGTCCTTGGCCTTCCTTTCTAGTTCTGTCCAATTGTTGTTCATTCTTCTCATGTGTTTGTCTCTATTTCTCGGTCTAATGTGTTCTTCGGTCTACCTCTTTCCGTTTGGCCTTGAGGATTCCAAGTTAGAGCTTGTCTTGTTACACATTGAGGTGCTTTACTCAATGTATATCCTACCCCATTTCCAGTGTCTCTTCTCGATTTCATTCCTCACTTGGAATCTGGTTTGTTCTCTCCCAAAATCTGAACGGAATACATATTAACCTCCTGTTATAATGTTGCTATGTAGCTATTCGTAATTTTACCGATTGACCAAAATTCAGATATTACAGTACTACCCGAAATACTGTTCTCAAATATCCAATCTATATATCAGAACACAACACCGTTAGATGAAATTGTTTATGGGGTCGTATACAGAAGGAATGAAAAGTAAGCTTTACAGATAATGCATATTTATACAGTTAGGTTGAATAGAAAACAACATTGAAGTATGGGAAATTGATAGTTAGGACGACCATAATAATGACCAGTAGGAATTGACCGATAGAATTAGACTTTCAAAAATAATTCTCACAGTCAATCAATTAGTCAGTTGCAACGTAGAACTTCGTACGTATCCACATAAGTTCAGGTTGCCATACCACCACATTAGCACAGAGAAGCAAATGTCAAATCAAATCCCATAGTGATAGAAATAGTAGAGGTATTAATGGTAATGAAGAAGACTAGAGGGTTTGAAGGTATTATTCAAGAAGTATAATTAAGTGAGATAAGGTTAGGAAAACAAAGGTAGAGGTGATGACGAATCCAGAAGATTAGGATTTGAGAGAGCTCAACAAATGGATGCACCTACGTCAATGCAAATCATTATGAGCTACGTCATTCAGGGTCTCTAACCATCGATTACTATTTTCTCGCTGACCCTAACCAGGTAGTCTACACCTGCTAACATGATTTAGTCCACTTGTCAGTGACTTCATGGAGTTCTGCCGTGTTTTATCCGGGCCGCGCCTACATTTCTTCCAACCTACGATTACACCACAGAATATAGTTCGTCGAGGCAGTCGGCATACATAACACATGCCCGACTACCTCAACTGATAAAGTTTCACCATTTCATCTATTGATCTGCCATCCTTACCTAGTACCTGTTTCCTATCGACAGTACTGTTTACTCGGTTGTACCACGGTATACGAGCAATGCTTCTTAAACATCTATGATCGATTACTAGTAACCTACGAACATCTACTCTTAACGGCCATGTTTCACATCCATATAGGAGAACGGAGCGAACTGCTGCACAGTACACCCGTCCTTTGATTAGCAAACGGATATCTCGTCTACACCATAAACAGCATAAATTGACAAAAGCTAATCGAGCTTTCTGTATCCATGCTGAGATTTCATCAGGCTATCAGCGCTGATGAGAATCACAGGATATTTTTATGAATATCTTAACACCCAAATCGAATCAAGAATGGAATAGAAAGTCGAATCATAAGTTATATTCAATAAATGGTTTGTTTTTCTTAAGAAAAAAAATTTCATGTGTTTGATTCGCTTGTATTCATTCTTTTCTCACCCTCTCTTTCTCTCTCTCTGTGTTTGTCTACTAGAAACTCTTATCAAATGTTGTGATTTATCACAATTATGGTATCGTGAATTTTTCTTAGAAATGACTAATGGTACTTGTATACAATTTCCAATTGAAATGAGTCTTCCATGGATATTTACTAATCATATTTTAGAAATGGAACATCCTGGTTACATGGAATACCTGTTATATATGCTTGATTTATACAACGATGCAGCACAATGTGCATTAAATCGTTTTCGACGACAATTTTTATATGAAGAAATTGAAGCTGAGGCGAATTTAGTTTTTGATCAATTAGTGTATAAATTAAGTGATAAATTATTTCGACATTATAAATGTTATGCAGCATCAATTTTGTTGGATAAACGATTTCGTACTGAAGCACAACGTACTACTATGTCATGGCGTGAATCATCGTATCCACCACCGAATCGTTATCAGCCGGCATTGTTACAACAAAATAATATTCAATTACTTGGACGTTCTATTGATTTGAATCGATTAATATGTCAACGTATGAATATAGCTATCTATAAATCAATTGAAGTAGCGATAGCACGTTTTCATAGTTCAGATATAACAGGAATTATTGTAAGTTTCAGGTTTTATTGTTATACTTTAAGTAGTAATTAGTAGTGCTATTGTGTGAATGTGTTTGTTGACCGGACCAGCCCCCCCTCATCCCCAACCCCGAATGGGCTACTTGAATGTCAGTCACGTGTGCTGTTACGGGTATGAGGGCGGTTATCACTTCCCGGCTGCCCACACCGTGGAAGGTTGTTTCTTGAGGAACCTGAAAAGGAAGATAGATTAGTGTTGGTGCGTGACCGCAGAGTCCAAGGGACAAATGCTTGAGGCCGGTCACGCACGGCCTTTTTATCAAATGTTTTTTGAGGATTAGCTCCGTTCTTAAAGGCCCTTAGTGGGCACCCTTACCCAAGGAGACGGAAATCCGTGAGATAGGGCAGGTGTGACATTTTTAGGGCCGACCTTTTCTAACCCTTCCTTCCTTGTGAGAAGACAGCATCGCTGCAGATGCTGGTTGTCCGAGGGAAACACCTTACTGCTGTCACACCCCTCCATCACAGTCAGCAGTACGACTTCGCCCTCAGACCTTGGGTAGCTGCTTTTAGTCTCATCGTTCTCCAATCGACCTGCCTGGCATGGTAGGACCTGCAGGAAGATGTGTTCCAGCCAGTATAGCTCGGTTGGGTCATCACGATAGGCAAGCCCGACCACCACGTCAAGGTAGCAGCTTCGGTCGACTGCTTGAATGAGAAGGTGAACGTAAAGATGTAGTGTAGTTGGTGGCTATTGAATAATGCGTACAGAAGGTTCGATTGACTTTTGCCAACTTGCGTCACTTATGGCGTCGGTGCAAACTGAAGGACGAGTGTACTGCGTAGTAGTTCGCTCCGCCCGACTATAAGGATGCGAAACATGGCCATTAAGAGTAGAAGATATTCGTAGGTTAATGATTTTCGATTAAAGATGTCTTCGAAGCATTGCTCGTATATCCTGGGACAACCGAGTAAGCAATGCTGTCGTTAGGAAACGAGTACTAGGCAGGGATGGCAGATAAATAGATAAAGTATTGAAACTTTATCAGTTGAGGTGGTCGGGCATGTGTTATGTATGCCCAACCATCGACTGCCTCGACGAACTATATTCTGTGGTGTAATGGTAGGTTGAAAGAAATCTAGGGGCGGCCCGGATGAAACATTGCAGAACTCCATGAAGTCACTGATAAGTGGACTAAGTGATGTTAGCAGGTGTAGACTACCTGGTTAGGGTCATCGAGAAAATAGTAATCGATGGTTAGAGACCCTGAATGACATAGCTCATAATGATTTGCATTGACGTAGGTGCATCCACTCTTTGTGTTCTCTCAAATTCTAATCTTTTGAATTGCTCAAGACTGTTTTCTCTATTTTCTACCGATTTCACTGGGATATACTTCTTGTTTTATATCTTCGATCCCTAATCTTCTCCATTACTGCTAATACTTCTACTATCTCTACTACTACTGGATTTGAATATACAATTGCGTCTCTGTGTGTTCATGTGGTATGGTATCTTGAACTGATGTACTACGTACGTACGAAGTTCTACGTAGTATGTAACTGATTGACTGACTGAAATTAGCATAGTAACGTGAGAAAAGGTTCAAACTATGAGAAGAACTCTTTACACTGAGGTTAGTTTATGTATAGAAATCGACAGTATTAATAGTTCATTGCGACTTTGAACTTGTATAATTTTTGAAATCCGTAGTAACCACATAGTTGACACATAATTCTGCATTACGTAGAACTGTTGTATATGAATGTTCTATTCCATTCTGATTGAGTGAAACGTTTCATGGCGTTTCTGGGCCCTCTATAGACTTTTTTTATGTGTCGTATGTCGATTACTAATATTTTGTTATAAGTGAATAGGTAGACAATTGGTGTATCAGCTGCCATTATTGTATGCCATTGTATCAATGTTTGAAACTGCTGTTTTTCGCATTTCGTTTGTCAATATTGTTTACGATAATAAGTTAATGAAATGTAACTATAAAAATTTGTTCAAATGTCATGTGTGTGTTTTGTACGTCAAGTAACAAAAAAGTACAGTTATTATTATTATAACTTTTTTTGTGTGTTGGTGTTTTTTCGTTTCACGTACAAACTTTAATGATTTATTATGGTCAAGCTAACTGTCCACCAGATTGTGTATAGCATAGATAAGGTGCAGTGAATTTCAAAGTTGTATGTGTGTGTGTATGTGCGTGTAGTGGGCATATGTGAGAAACACTTTGTTATTAATCATTAATCGAAATAGAATTCAATTCCAAAGGGTGTCTGTTAGTGGGACATAGATGGAATTAAAGCATGACTACGTCGCTACGCGCTGATTGGCTAATTTCCTAATCCAAACAGCGCCTGATCGATTCTTGGAGAACAGGATAGAAAATTCTCGTGCTGTTCGCTGCATGCTGATTGGCTAAATCTAATCCAGTCGATCACGTGAATTTCTATCTATTTTTGGGCTTTCGCCCTCTTCGCCATCACCTCTAGCTTCTTATTTCCATTTAACCTTGCTATTTGGAATACAATCTTTTCCTGTTCAACCGTGTTTTTGATTCATTGGAACTTGTCCAGCAGTGTATTGTGGTCAGAGAATACTAAGCAATAGGAATTAGCTGGGAATCATTTAGGCAAGCGTTACAACAGTGTCAGTTAGATTGAGTTTCTTTTTTGCATAGTTTAGTTGATTTCATTTTTTTTTCTGTCTCTCTCTCTCTCTCTCTCGTAAATAATTAGGGACTTGATTTGTTCATGGCATAAAACGTATCATCTGTAGATTAGTGGGTGATTGATTAGTAAGTTGGGAGAATGTGAAAAATCGATCTGATCAACATTTATCATTTATGCATGATGATATCATTAACTTTATTTGATGTAAATAATGTTGATGGATTGTTGCAACCATTATGCTGATCAATGATTAGAGATGTTGGTTGATTTGACTTTGTCAGTCAGTCAGTCAGTCAGTCAATCAGTCGGTTACAATGTAGAACTTTGTACGTACGTAAGTACATCAGTTCAGATTGTCCCGACCGAAGATGCTACCTTGACGTGGTAGTCGGGCTTACCTATCGTC